AAAAAAAAAAAAAAAAAAAAAAAAAACCCAACCTGGAAAAATAATTTTAAAAATAGGTAAACATTATTAGTTGTCCAGTTAAAACATCTTCATGCAGTTAACTTACTAAAAAAACTGCTAAAAAAATTTTACCACTTAAAATTTGCATCTAAAAATATTACTATTTTACTAGAGTAGCATAAACCAAAGAAATAAATTCGTATTAAAAAATATGAATTGAATCAAAGTACATATGTTAAAATTTGAGAGATGTCATAGAAGCACTAAGAAGGAAACCCACAGCACTAAATCCCTAGTAGAAAAGATCACATAAATGACATCAGTTTCAATGCGACCTAAGTATCAAAAGTACAAACTAAACAAAAGTAGGGCTGGGGATTTAGCTCAGCAGTTCAGTGGCCTGCCTCGCAAGCACAAGGACCTGCGTTCGATCCCCAGTACCACACAAAAAAAAAAAAAAAAAAAAAAAAAAAAAAAGTAAAAGAAAAACCAAATCAATAAAACAGGAAAGGAAAAACATGAAGCCAAAAGCTGATCTTTTAGAAAAGACTAATTTAAAAAACTTGTTATCAAAACTGAGAAGGAAAAAAAGAAATTTTTAGTATTAGGAATAAGATTGATGTCACTACCTACTTTAAAGAAATCAAAAGCATTAAAAATTAATACTTTATCATGAACTCCTCTATGCAAATAAATTAAGCAACTTAAAGGAAATGGACTAATTCTATGTAAGACACAAAGATCACCAAGAAGTAACAGGCAACCCAAATAGCCCTGTACTGTATTTTACTTTAAAATAAATAAATAAATAATGTAGCATATAACCTCTTCACAAAACAAACATCAAACCCACACAGCTTTGCTTTCAAATTACTTACTAACAGCATTCCTTTCTTAACTGGTACAATTCACAATTCATGGTAAAGAGAGATAAAAAGAATACCATTTATAGTATGTTCATATTAGTATCAGAAAAAAAGTAAAGCTGCCTGTGCATTCTCACAATTTTAACACCATACTAGATAGAAGTCACAGGCAAGAAAAAGTGGCACCCTGATAGGAAAGAAGAAAATGCTTTGAAGACAACTGGGCATAAATGGCCTAAGGGGAAAATCTGATGGAATCTACAAAAAAACTATCTGATCTATGATATGGGCTTAGCAAGGGTACAGTATATAAGAGTAAGGTGAAAAAAATTGTAGTTCCAAACATGAGCCCCAAATAATTTGGAAGCTGAATTTTTAAAAATACATCTGTTAAAAATCAAAAGATAGGAAATACTAGGGATGATTCTAACAAAAGCTGCAAAAAACCTATACACTGAAAACTAAACTATATTCAAAAACTTAAAATGGAACACAGATCCAAGTACTATATTGAATCAAAACATAAAACTTAAGGAGAAAGATTTTTTTCCTACTTCAGGCTAGCAACAATGGCCTAGATATGCCCCAAGTATCACCTATAAGAGGAAAAGGTAAATCAGATGGGAGTTCATCTGTTCTTCAAAAGACACTGTTTAGAGATAAAGAGCAAGTGTATTTGCAAGTTATGTATATGAAAAAGAATATATCCATAATAAACTCTCCCTCAGAATTCAATAAAAAAAAATTAAAATGCAAAAGATTTAATCAAGACACTTCATAAACACAAAAAGTGTTAACAAAAAGCACATAAAAGATGTTTAATGTCAGGTACTACAGAAATACAAATTAAAATTACATGAAGTATTCATACCCACTACAATGCTGATCAAAAAAAAAAAAATCACACAGGCATTAGACATAGGCATTAGAGGATATGGAGGAACTGAACATCTCATACTCCACTGATATCAATGTACAATGGTATAAACACCGGGAAAATTTTCAGTCATATGCCCCCTCAGAGCAATGAAAGCCCGTGTCCAAACAAAGATGTGCAGAAATGTTCACAGCAAACTTCTTTATAATAGCCATAAACTGGAAACGCAAATTAAGAGGTGAATAAATAAACTATCACACAACCATATAATGTAATGTTACTAAGCAACAGAAAAGGACTACTAATAAACAACATGAGTAAATCTCAAAAAAATTATAGAACAAACCAGACAAAAAGATGGGCTTGTAATGCATAATTTCAGTTACTTAAACTTCTAAAAATTATGTAAACTAATTAATCTTGTTACAGGAGACTAGTGGCTGCTTGGAGGAAGAAAGGCAGAAGGGAAATTACCAGGGGTCAAGATATTATTTTTGACTGACAGATACTTAAAACTATTTTGATCATGGTGATGTTTTTCAAAAGTGTATACAGATGTCATAATATTCTATACCTTAAATATGGGTAAAGTGAAATTACATCTCAATAGTTCTTTTTTTTTAAAAAGGTCAAGATGTGAGGTAGAACACAGCTTTAATCCTTCTGTGTAAAAAATATTCATATATGGTAACAAAAAATTTCAGGAAAATGTACAAAATATTTTAGAGCAATCATTTACATCTAAGAACTGAAAAGGAGAAATGTTTTGCTCTGAATTTTTAAAACACATATCATGTTTTATTATTTCCTTTAAAGAATTTTAAAAAGAAAATTACATAGCTGACACCAAGGCAAAAATTCTTAACTATTATCCTTAAAAAACTGTGTAAAATTAACTTTAGCTACTCAAACTTTTAATGGTTTTTAAAATGGCTTATTTTTGTTTTAACATTTTCTAATGTTTAATCTTGAAACTAACAAAAAATTGATACAAGCAATATATCTTTTCTGGATATCTTTTCCAAGTCTCCTCACTTTTTTTCTGCCTGCTCATTCTAAGTCTTGTCTATAAACTTTTCATTCATCAACAGTACACAAACTCAGACTTGTACCATTTCTTCTTTTACAAAAGAATCTTGAATCACTTACTCTTTTTAGAAAATTCAGAGACAAAACCTACTTAGCATCTACACTGCACTCGAGCTATTCTCAACTTGTAATCTCATTTCAATTTGGAAAATATCACCACAAAATAATGTTAAATATGCCTGAACTCAAGAAACAAGCCTAAATATAACATGAACAATTATCTGCTTCACCATCACACATCTTCAAAGGTGTTCTAAAACTCTTCACATGCCACCACTAATGCAATTTTAAGAATTCCAAACGCATAGTGAAATCAGCCTCACTGAGAATAAGCAGACAGCCTTCCCAAGACTACATTTGAAAGGGGAAAGGATGAAGTAGATGGGGGTGAGAATACCATTGTTTTGGCAGGTTTAGGATTTAAAAATTAAAAAACAATCACCTCACAGGGCAGACAGGTTTGCAAATAAAAAAATGATAGTGTATCACAATGTTAAAAGGTATTATGTATTCAAGGAAAGCAAAGACCTAAGTATTAGTTTTAAAGTTTAAAGGATGAGTGGTATCCTAGCAAGAAGTGAGAAAAGTCTATTTCCTTTAACAGACAAAACATCTCTTAACTTCTAGCTCAAATTTAAAGCTAATTGCCTAAACTTTCTTTTCAAGTATCAGAATAGCTTTTTCTAGTGTGCATATTCTAAAAACAACTTACATTAACAAAATCTCATGTCTGAAGTACAAAATTACATTTCCATTTGGAACTTTTACCCTCAAAAAATTGTGATATAATTTTGTATTCACAAGTCACATGTGCAAAGCATTAATTCCTTGAACACCATTTATAATTACTTCAAAATGTTATTCATACAGGCTGTGAGTTCTAGAACAGCTTGACTGCTGATGATTTATATCATCCAACTAACTTTATGGTTGTTTATGTAATTCGATTTTACAAATGAAGTATTCTATACTTGAGTTTTGTTAGCTATATTACAGCTTTCAAAATTGAAACTTTCCACTAATTATGATAATGCTAGTAGATCCAACAACCCGTTTTCTTTCACTGTACAATCTTCTTACCTTCACACCAACAGCAACCTCAGTGACAATTCTGTAAAGAAAAAAAACAGTTTCAATCTCTTGTTCTTCTAATTACTGCCTTACTCTAAAAACTTTTTTAAATCGTTGAAAATTCAAAAATCTTCCAGACACCCATAATAATCATGGGAAAGGTATACACAGATAGTCAATGGTACTTCTTTGTACTATTATCAATCTGGTTTTCTAGAAAGAACTCTCAAACATAAAGCAAAATGCAGTAAACTTGAAAGTATTTTTTATACATTTTTCATAAAAAGATAGAAGTCTAAATCACCATGCCATTCCTGAATTGCTAGAATAATTTAATGCTTGTACTTTAGTAATATAAAAATATAAGCAGAAAACATGACTCCAAGCCCAAGTTTTGCAATTTAGTTTTCCAATTTACAGTACTGATCTGGAGGGATACTGAACTTCTTCGAATCTATGTTTCATCCGGAAAATAACCTTTAAGATAACTTCTAGCATGCTTTAATTTTTATAGTCCTGTTAATTTAACATGATCATTTAGTGTCTAAAAAATATGTAACTCCAGACTCCAATTTTACTTTTGATTATTCAAAAATTGTCACTGATTTCAGTTAACTGACAGTTCTCTACATCCCTAAACTGGCTGTGCACTTCTCTGTCTTTGCCCTTTGGTGCGCCCACCTTCTAACAACGAGTTAAATTGAGTCATTTCAGATGTGGAGCATTAGTACCAGAGAGACTAGTCCGTATCATTTCCCAGAGGCCGTGTCTCACCTCGCTCTGCAATTCTATCTTCACCAAGGCTCTCAAAGATACAGCAGGGTTTTGCCTCTTTGTAGCTCTTGGTTTGTTTTCGGAAACTGACCAAAGTGGCTAAAATGATGGCCCTGTACTGGCTATCTGCTCTTGTTTCTGTCATGGCTGTTGGCCTTTACCCATGTGACTGATGCCGACCTCAAATACTTTGTTTTGTTGATGATTTAATTTCTCGGCCTTTCTGCCAAGCCTCTTGGATGTTCGTAGGCCTCACAAAATGGCATTTTTTTAATGCCTCCCGCCCCCACAACCAGACTGGGATGAAAACAAAGGAGTGTGACATCTGCCCTCCCCCC